TATGGAACAGATAACAATATACATTCACAGTTTTCACCCAGGGCTCTGTTTAATTTTCTTTTTCCAGAATATCTTTAGAAGAGATTTGGGCCATCTGGGCACAGCCCAGAATATCATGTTGGTCCATGACTTTGGGAGTATCATTCTGACTGAGCAGGAAGTGAGTGACAGGGATGGAAATTTGGAAGGGATGGGGAAGACTAGAGCTGTTGATCCACAAACCTCTCTCTCTGAAGTTTGTTGTCAGGAATGGAAGTACATCAGGGAGTCTGGAAAGGCGTCTCCCCCATAAACTCCCAGTTAGGTGGAGAACTGGGTCTTTGTGGCCTGCCGGGTGGACGGGGTCCAACACAGAGTTGTGTCACTCTGACTTTCCTTCAAGAGAGGACTCGCTACATATTTTCAAGGGGCATGGTTAGATAAAACTTTCCAGTGGTGCAAGTCCAGCCATTCCCACCTGCCATAGGATCCTCTAGCAGCCAGTCCCAGAAGATGGACGGTGGTTCTAAAGGCTGTAGGTATCATTTCAGCATTTCGTTTATTTTGAATAGAGTTGCTTACGGTTTCCAAAGCTGATTTTACTCTGATAGTAGGACTCTATTCATAAAATTTTGAAACAGAACTTAGTGGGAAGAAAAGGAACAGATAAAGAATACACAAAGTTGAACAATGACAAGAATTTCCTACAAATGAAGTAAAATTGAGTATATAACCGTGGGTTGTAAGAGGTGGGGAGTTCTAGAAACGCATGACGCATAAATACCTTGGCACAGGAGAAGGTGTGAGACAGCCCAGCTGTTATGCATCTATTGTAGAATGGCTCATTGCATCAGAACTTCAGTTTCCCATAGGCGAGCTTCCATGCTACAGGCTACAGCAATCCCTAGGGCCCCGGAGGTGTAGGAGGCACTTACCTTCCTTTTTTCCCAGCCTGCGTTCTGGAGAGAAGTGTTCTGCATGGGCTTCTTTACTTGGTCTCCCTACAGAGCTCGGAGATACAGCTGTTGGGCTCGGCACTGTCGGCACTGCAGGTTTGTAAGATAACAAAAGATGGTCATTTATTGCATTTCCAGCTCTGATGGAAAGTCCTGCTCCAATGGTTCTTTGTACAAACCTGACATTATCATGAGATTTTAAATCCCTCAAACATGCTCTAAAAAAATTGTTAACACCCCTCACACTGGGACCTTTTCAGTGTGGTGTAATTTACATGGCTGGTTATTTTGAAAATAGCAATGTGAACAGATGAGGTGGGCTTTCTCACTGGAGAGAAGGAAAGTTAAGAAGACAGCTCTCTCAGCTCCTTAGCCGTCTTGCGCTGTTAAATGACTCAACCAGGAAGCACCGACTGTGGAGGCCCCAGGTCAGTGAGAACCACAGGTAGACAATGCGCTCAGCATTGCTTACCAAAGATTTTGCCCTAATTGATGCATTTTTACTAAGAGGGAGACCACATTTTCTCTTTAGTGGCCTCTGTTAGTGTTCTTGAGAGTCTACAATTATATGTAATATATAATATAATAACACATGTATTTGTCTGTTTTAAATGTCTGGAGGTTGCTATTCAAACACCAAACACTTTAAAGGATTTAATTATGGCTATGGAATATTCACTTGGAAAATAAACACTTCAGAGACTGACATGAAGTATTTGGCTTTAGGAGAATCCTGTAATTATATTATTTATTATTTATTTCTGAAAATTTAACTATCGCCCCGTAAGGGCTGCAAACGAGCTTTAGCACTCCATTACTTACACCAACCTAGATTATTCACATGTATATATTTTTTAATAAATTTGAGAAATGGTATCTCAATCATGTTTGATTTACATGTTTTTGAACAGAAATGAGATTAAGTATCTTTCAGTCTGATTGTAAATGCTTTGCATTTCTTTATTAAATGTTCCTTTACTGTTTTTGCCTTTAAAAAAACACTGCTAGAATCTTCATATTATTCAGTAGATCTGAGTCTCCAAGGAGATATAGGAGTCAATAAGTAGAATGTAAGGAGTGGGGTTTTTCCAGCTCCTGGTGGGAAATGTGGGATGAGATACCTTCATGCTCCCCACCCGTGACCTCTGCCCCAGGCAGTGAATTTGTCTTTGTTAAGGAGCAACACTAAAATCCCTGGGACCGCTCTGCAGCATGCCTGTGGACCACCAAGGGAGCGTTTGATCTGAACAGGCCTGTTCTCTCACTGGTGTCACTGTGCCTGCCCCATTCCAGCCCCTAGCGATCATTTCTTCTGTATCTTTCCTGGAAGGTGCCATTCAGTAAGTATTTGATATGTTTTCACTCTGTGCGAGGTTGTTTCTGTCCCTGGGACACCCGTGACCAAAGCAGACACAATCTGTGTTCTAGTGAATACACCAGGCCTCACTTACCTGTTAAAGGTTCTGGAGCCTTTCGAGAGAGACTGGGAATAACTGTAGGCTGGCAGCAACAGGCTGCCCCGTGAGCAGCCCAACCCTGACATTGTCTCCGCAAGTGGTCGGGTAATCTTGAGCTCGCCCTGTCAGTTCCCTGGGCCTCGGTTTCTGCATCTGAAAGAGGAGATTGCAGGGCCCATGATGCTGGGGAGAATGCCTTTTGGACGTGACATCTTCTTCATGTGACATTAATGCCCAAGCTTCTCCTACCATCTAGTTCACACGTTATATTTTCTGAAGGCCGAGAAGGGAACATATTTGGAAGATGGGAATAAATGGGGCGTGGCTTACCTCATTCTTAACCTGGTCATTAGCTTCCTTGGAAGGCTGAAGAAGACCCTGGTGAACACGCTCCCTGTTGTTCATTCTTCAGGACCACAGCTTAAAGGAGTGAACAATAGGTACACTCTTGTTTCCAAAGCCCTTGTTGAGCACTTTTCCGACAGAATTTTAGTCTGTCATAAAACTCTGTTATTAAATGTTTTGAAGTATCCTGTTTATAGTTGGCATAAAACCATTTAATACCATATGGCCAACACTTATGTATTGTCAAGAGTAGACCAAGTGCAGAATTTGATGCACCTGAGATGTGATTTATGAAGGATTGAGTACATCCGGTAAGAAACACACATGCATGTATACACATACACACACATGCACAACATTATGTAATTCCATTAAGTTAGGTTTACAGTTTTGATAGGCTTGACTCAGACAACATGCTTGTTCCGGAATTTATTTATCATCGTTCATTGGTCACTAACTAGTGCATGAAGATCATGTTGGGTACAGTCCTCTTCTGGTTGTCCTGATGTCCAGTAAGTCAGAGCTGTTGCAGACTCATGAGCTGTGACTGCCGTGGCATTTTTTCCTGCTAACCCATCTCAAGATCCCCAAAGGTCTCCAACAACTGGGATTCTGTGTGTTTGGGAACAGGAAGGAAATGGAGGGCAACCAGCTTCACCCACCAACACGCCTCCCAGCTGGAGGTCACCGTATAGCCTACCCCTGCAGACAGAGATCTCAGATGGGAAGGGAGCCCTATCAGCAGATGGAGGAGGGCGGGGCCTCCCACAGAAGGGAGGAACCAGACAGGCTCGTGGAGTCCATCCTCTATGGGCCCAGAATTTTTAGTAAAGATAATAAAACTGGCCCTCAAGGCCCTGGGTCCCATGGAAGCAGCACCCAGTGGGTAACAGTAGTCTGGGCTGGGGGTTCAGATGGCTCTTCCTCTGCCACCCATTTGCGGGGGAGGCCTGAGTGTGGAGGGGGTGGGGGGCATGCGCTTGGGAGCCAGAGTACTTCTTTCTCTTTGAGCTCCTGATCTTACGTCTTCCGGACAGACACCCAGCAGATGAACTGATAAAGAAATATGGTATAAACATGCAATGGAATATTATTCAGTCTTAGAAAAGGACATTCTGCACTATGGGTGAACCTTGAGGACGTTATGCTCAGGGAAGTAAGCCAGTCAGCAAAGGCCAAATGCTGCATAATTCTGTGTCTATGAGGAATCTAGAAGAGTCAAATCAGACAATCCTAGAGTAGAAGCATGGTTGCCCAGGTCCAGGGGGAGGGGAAGTGGGGAGTTACTAATGAACAGGCACAGTTTCAGTTAAGCAAATGAATGAGTCCTACATTGTACTTATAGTCAATATTAGTGTATTGTGCACCAGAAAATTTGCTTAGTTACTAATGAACAGGCACAGTTTCAGTTAAGCAAATGAATGAGTCCTACATTGTACTTATAGTCAATATTAGTGTATTGTGCACCAGAAAATTTGCTTGAGACGGTAGATGCCATGTTAAATGTCGTTAGCATAAAAATTCAAAAAAAAATTCTTTTTAACAGTCAGATTTCTGGCTTCTGTGGACAAATTGGGAGGCTGGGCCCAAGCTGGGGCTGGCAAGCTGGATGATAGAGAATTGGAATAGACAGGATTTACATCTTGTCACCCAGGCTGCTTCTTTTAGAAACTATTTTCTTGTGTTCATTTTATCTAAGTGCCTGATCAAGAACAAGGGGCCCAGATCAGCCAGTGGGCTGGTGGCTTCTTGGATGCTAACATTGCCACAAAATAAAAACCAGTAACATACATTTACTTTTTTAATAGCTCTCCCATAACAGGTGTTGCAAAGCCTATAAAGGGACACATGGTACAAATGTCCTGGGGGAGAAAAGAAGAAAACTTCCCCCAACATCATCATCAATAAGGGATTTTTGTGGTGTTTCTTTGCTTTGACTTTAGAAATAGTTACTAGCTTGAGGAATCGAGTGTTTCTGAGGCAATGAGTTCCCAGTAGGTGGTCATGATGAGAGCTTGGGGCTGCCTATCTGATTTCCAAGGCAGAAATGAGGGGATAAAGTGCTCATCCCGCATATAAACAGAAAGGGGATGAGAGGAGAAAGTGTTGAGGTTCTGGGAAATCTAACAGCCCCTTAAGTGGATGCTATTACTGGGGAAGACAGTTCTGCAGATGTGAAAAAATAGAGGACAGCAGGGGGCTGCTTAGTGACAGGCGATTTCAGGGCTGTGAGTGCTCGGCAGGTCCCGATGCCCTCGAGATAATGGGCAACTGCCAGCAGCCCCAGAAGTCAGGTAAAATGATGACAAAGGACAGCAGCTCATGTTCTCCCTGAGCTGATGACAAGCTAGAGACTGCTTGTGACATGACTTACAGTAAATATATATTTGGTCTTCATCCCTGTTGTTTGCTCACAGCTCCCAAACCCTTTGACATAGTCTAGGTGGTAATTGAGCATCTTTTGTAATATGTGTCTTTTGTCCTCAGGTCACTTGTAAAGGTGACAAGGGTGTTTTGTCATTCAGAACATGCCCCGTTCCACCAGGGCTGGTTTCATGAGACTCAGGAGTCATGCTTTGTCCCTTCAGGGTCCATGCTGAGCTCTCAGATCTCTCCTACAGGCTCTGTAACAACCACTCTTAAACTCTACTGGGTGCTAGGCACCAGCCAAGCACATCACAAGTGTTATTATGTCCCTCGAGGCTCTACAGCAACCAGGTGAGAGGTGGGTGCCACCCAATTTCACAGGCAAGGAAGATGGAGATGGGAGGGCTCAAATCCCTTGTCTGAGTAAGGGAGGAGCAGGAAGCTGCTTCATTTCATTCTGGAATTCACTCCAGTGCCTCCACACCTGGCTGCCCATTGGAACCAGCAGGGGCTCTGTAAAACACGCAGATTCCTAGCTCCAAACCCAGGATATTCGGTTGTAATTGCTATGGGCTGAGAAGGGGCTGTGGGATGCTTAAGATGCCCCCAGGAGATTCTAAAGTGCTGCAAAGCCTGGGAACCACTGACTCAGCCTCTTTGTCCTGAAACTGCCCATCCAAGGTATATCTTCCACTGGAACAAAGACAAGACTGAAGGCTGGACATGGTGGCTTTGTCATCTGGGTTCTGGGCATGAGGTGGCAGTCAGCACACAATGAGCACCAGCCTGGGCCTGATGGTCAGACTGGCTGGTAACTGAGTCAGTGGAGGGGCATGTCTACCTGCAAGAGGAGCCAGGAGCTGCCATTTCACTCTGTACAGCCTCACAGTCCCTGGAAAACTGAGGATGTTGAAAACATCCGACGATGACTTTGCTCATTCTAGGTTGTTTGTGTCCCGGGCCCACCCAAGAGAGTGATGACATGAGGGTCCTCTCTGCAGAGCCAGCAGCACCATGGGCGTTTTCACCTGCTTGTGGTCTATTTGCCCGACTTAGGTCACCTGAGCTACATGCTGGGCCCCAACTGGTTGTTCAACGTCACTGACCTGGTGATGAAGTTCATGAAGGTACAAGAGCTGCAATTCGCTCAGTTTCAGACTGTCAGGACCCGGGTGGGCCCGGAGCCAAGAATCGCCACTGAGCAGCTTTAATTCACCCCGTGACACTTTCCCCAAACACCCAGCCCATGATCTGTGTGTGCCAAGGTAAGAGTTAGTGTGAGCAAGTTCTATGCATGTGTGTGTTTGTGTGTGACAGAGAAGGAAAAACAATAGACAGGTTTCACCAATTGTCATACCTCATATTCAGAAATTAATTTTTCATTAAGCACAGAAAAGCTTTTGCAAATTAGAGACATTCTTACGATCAAATCTCTTCCCCTTTTTACCAGTGGATGATAATACGCTCTCCCTGATCCCAGTAGTTCTCAACTAAAGGACACTTGGTCAGGTCTGGGCACATTTTGGTTGTCACATTTATTTTTACACACACACAGTGTTCCATAATTTCATGCTCTCTCTTTACTTATACTAGTATTGAAAAACTTCACAGCTAATGTAAATAGTATGGCTGTAAAGAGATTACACAGCAGGCCATTACCTTCATGAAATGTCTAAATATTTCTTGTCATGCCACAATGTAGGTTTTGCCCAGGCCTAATTTTTGCAAAAGCTGGTTTACTGATACTATGCCAGTGTGGGGTCTAAATGCCCTCTGGTTGCAGATTGATGTCTTATGAGATGAGACGACTTTTTAAGACCATTAAGATTCCGTTTTCCAGCTCTGTTTTCTGGGCAAGCTCAGCGATGCCTCCTGATTGACCATCATTGTGTCCTAAACATCTAACGACTCAAAAAGAAGGAATTTGACAGAGGAAGAAGGCTGGCTACACACCATTTCTCTGAATATTTTTAGTGAAATTCTGCTCTGGTCAAAACATAACTTTTAGTTTTGAGGAAAATTATGTTTCATGCACTTTAATGGGTCAAGGCAAGCAGGAAGTTCTTTAATTTTTAGGAATTGCCCCTCAAATCAAGCTCCTTAAAGAAAACAAATGATTAATGTTGTATAAATCAAAGGATGTAAAATATATTATGCTGATATATTTATAATTTCTTGTTTTTTTAATTGGTGAGTATAAGCCAACATTTTAAAAAATGCTTTTCTAAACCACCTGCATTTTATCAAGCTGTCCAAGACTAAGACCACCACTAAGACCATGAGTACAAATTTATTGTCTGACAAAGTCAGGGTTAGTGACCTACTGTGTTAGGGAGACCACACCCAGAGGAACTGTGGGACATTGTATCAAGCTGAAGAAAAGAGATTATGGGATGTTGTGAAGGTTAGGCATAGGTAAGATTTTAATAAAGCAGAGTGTGTATAGCTCAGGACAACGCAGCCTGCGAGCCTCTATCTCGGCTGTGGTGTGGACCCAGGGTCCTGCTTGCTTGGGAAACCCAAAATCCGCATGGATGGGGACTGCTGTGTCCAGAAGCGCCTTCTCTGAAATTCTGCCCTGGAGCTGGAAACCAGGCTTGCTTCTCTGTCAAAGTGACTAAGAACCTCAAAGCTAGAGCAGGAGGTTCATTCTTCCTGACACGGCTTTAAAAAGCAAGATTTTTGATCATCTTTGACATTAAGGATGATGTTTCTCAGTGAGTTAAAAAGCTCTAGTCACCCAAATAGAGCAGTTGCCTTGTCCTTGGGGGGAGGCACTTCCTGCATGTTGGCAGGTGACTTTGGTTGGCTCCGGTGAAGGGAAGGGTGGGTTTCTGCTTTGTTGGCCTGAGCTAGTTCCTGCTTTCTGGAGAGATTCTTTTAGGGTAAACTGAGAGCATGCTTTAGGGTTTAGAAGGGATGTGGCAAGTCAAGACTGAAGAGAAAACATCTGTCTGGGCAAGAAGCTCCATTTTTGTTGTAGGATTTACCTTTACCTTTCTTTTTCCCAGTAGTGGTGTGTGGTCCAGAGACTCAGGCTCTCTCGCTTACTCTGAAGGTCCTCTCACCTCTCTCCGACTCCATCCTGGCTAAGAAGACAGTGATCGTCCTGGACGACCGTGTCACCATTGCGGACCTGGGCGTGCAGCTGGTGACTGGCTTGTACCTTGCCCTATAGCCACAGAGAGCAGACAAAAGGGCCATTGGGTCTGCAGTGGCTGCCCAGGGTGTTCTCCAAGCTCCAAAGCAGGTGACATTCCAGCATCCTTTGGTCCTCGTCAACTGGGACCCCTTCTCTCACATCCAGCCAAGGAGATCAGCAGACCACTCATGGCTGGGACTGGTGACCCCTGAAGCTTCCTGCTGCCTCTTCCCCACTCTGGCCTGCTCTGAGAAGAGTGCTCAGTGACTTAGGTACATTTTCCTTGTATGTGCTTTTACACACTGACCATGTGTCCAACACCACATTGCATCAGATTATCTTCAGGAGCGACAGCATTGCTAGATCACCACCAAAGAAAGGGTCATACATTTTCACTTTTCTAAAAAAAGCAATAATTGATACTAGGAAATTCTGTTTCTACTATTTGAACAAGTATGGCTAATATGCACCAGCTATCCATTGGTTTATATTAATTATGGGCAACTTTAAACCTCTGCTCCATCTTTGAACCTGTAGCAAGTCCATCTAAGGTATACTCAGGTCACTGTGTCTTTCAAGGCTGTCATTTCCTATAATTCAACTTTTATCAGATACCTCACATGAGCATGGCTTCCTAATAAAGAATGCTTGGCATGATATTATCTTGAGCAGTAGCCTCATTAGCTGCACCTGACATTGATTCAGAGGCATCATGTGATCTTTCAAACTCTTTTTGGAAAATTCAAAGTAAAATTCTGTTACATGACATTCAGTAAGCTCACATACACAGGGCTGCATCCATCATGGCACACACATTTGCTCCTTATGCCAGTGGGGTTCCGGCACATTCTTTATGTTCATTTAACATGTAACAGCAACTGATCCAGATTTTAAGACATAGGAGTTTATTTTTCTCAACATGTATATTGAAAACATATTTTATAGGAAGCCATATACATGGGTCATGTTTACAAATCTAAAGGAAATGAACGAACACATAAATGCTTTAGTTTCATTTTTTTTTTAATCCTTGCATTTTGTTTAGTGATGATTTGGTGACACCATTAGACATCTATGATCCCAAGGATTTTTCAGTTACTGTCTCATCATTGGATGAAATGGTGGTGTCTGTTCAGAAAGACCTTCAGTCCAGATGGCCGGTTGTGGTTGCAGAGGGGGAAGGGCAAGGGCCCTTGGTTAAATTAGAAATGATGATTAGTGAACCTCGTCAGAAGACCGAAAGGAAGAGCATTCTTGCCGTGGGAAAAGGAAATGTCAAGGTCAAATTCGAACCAATCACGGATGAGCACCAAGGAGGCGCCAATGACATTGAGGGCGCACATCGGGAACATAAAGACCACCTCAGTAATTCCATAGGGCGGGAAGGAAACCAAAGAGAGCCATTCAGGAATGGCTCCAACGTGGCGCCTCTGTTGGCCAAGAGGAAAATTCCAACAAAAGCACAACCCCCCACTCTCATGCGGAAGGAGAGGACACGAAGTTCCTCAAGAGTCGAGTCGTGGTCCAGATGCCTCCACCAGTCTCCCAGCTCCGGGGAAGATACCAGAACCCGATAATCCATGTGACCTCTGGAATTCTTTCGGACACGCAAATGGGAAAACAAAATCTTTTCTTCAAGACTGGTTTGGCTGGTGTCTGTTTTATTCCTGGGGTTCATCATGTCATATCGTTTACTGGGTATCCAGGCTGATTTTTTTTTGTATTTGTCCTCACTTAAGTGTTTGGGGACAATGCCTAAATTCTTCTCCCTACTTCATTTTTCTTAGTCTCCTGTATTGAAATATCTTATATCTTAATTAGACAGTAAGTCTTATTTAATATGAGTGTGAATAAAAGAATATTCTACAAATAATTTTTACATGAAGCTGTTTTGAACACAAATTTGGGGGAAATGTTGAAAACTATAAACATATCTTTTTTTTTTTTTCCTCTGATAGCTATAACTTCATGGGGAAACTGGTGGAATGTACTACTGGGGGATACAATCTCTCAATTAAGCTGCTTTTAGCTATATTTATATAAACATTGTGTGAGCATCATTGTTTTCCACATCCAATCTGAAATCTGAAAATAGTACTGATATGCACGGAAAGGAAATTGCCTACAAAACAGCTGCAGATGAGGCTTGCCACTTTTGCCTGAATAAAAGCAAAAGAAATAAACAGAATGATATTTCAATCTAATAGTATGCAGACGTCCATCTATACTTGGTGGCCAGTAAAATACTCACAGTTGTTTTTCTGGCAGAGACAAAACATTCATGATGTGTGCACTGAGGGAGGAAAACAACGGGTAGTCACACACACACTGATCACAAAGGGGAATGGCTATTCCAAGATTAAGCCACCATTGTTAGGAAAAACACAGGGACTGTAAATCAGCGGTGAAGAAGAAAGAAATGGCAGATTGTACGATTCTTGCATAAATTATAAAATACTATTGGATGAGCCACAGGAATGGTCTGAAGCAAAGCATAAATTCGAGGGCAGGAAGATATAGTGAAATTTTATTTATTAAGATAGAACAGTTGTTGAGATAGATACTGGGCTAGAATGGCCCATCAGAGTCTCTGTTGGGCCATTTTGTCTCTACGAAGGTATAATAAAAATTTTTATTTTTCTTATTCTTAATTGATCTAATGTAACAATTTGTTCAAAATAGCAGTAACAATAATACATTCGATCATGTCTATTTACATATAAGTGAAATGAATGGCAGCCATGGTACCAGGGACAGGAGAGAGGAATAAGGATTTTTTGGTTTTTAACAATTTTTAAGCTAAATCTGTACTGTTCTCTCTCTTTAAAGGAGACAGATCTTGAGCAAAAATGGCCAAGCTAACATCTTACATTTTTGAGGTCTGTCTATTGGCATCTTATTATTGTCCTATAATTTTAAATTATTTAATACAAATTTTGATATGAAAGATGGAACTTAAGACAGCAGCTAGCAGTCAAGGACTACTCCAAGTGTCAACTGCTATTGCATTGACCCTGTCCTCTGATGCAGTCCTCTCGGCTTACCAACAATTCTCCCTCCTGCCTTCGCTCCTTTATCGAGAGGGATGTCTTACTCTATTTGAATTGGTTTATAGAATCTTCCATCCTGGCTGTGCCCACAGCTAGCTCCCAGACATCGAGGGTAGCACTTCATATCTGACGACCAAATCTACATGGTATCACCTTAAGGAGCAGGAGTCCTGTGAGGGGGCTCCATGACTCCAAGTGGCTGATGACCCAGATTCACAATAGAACCATCCGCCTATGTTATTGTCCCCACGCCATGGGTGGGGTCATCCACGCCATCTCTTGCCCCCCTCCTCCTGCGTCTCTTGTCCATAGGATGACAGTGTGTCTGTGGACAGGGTGCAAATCACCACTGATATGGGCTTGTGCCAGGAGCTGGTGTTCTCAGTCCTGTGGGTGTTATAATTGAGACAGAGAAGTGAGGCTGGTAAAGCTTGATTTTATTTTTTCAATTTAATTGGAGAATGAACCAGGAGACCCAAGTCATTTGATACAAAAATTAAAGACACTGCAGTGGGGACATGGAATCAAGTTCTTTAAGAGCCTGTAAAGTGTTACCCTGAATGTATGAGCAGGTGACTTAGAAAACAAGACTCCTTTGGCCCTGAATTTTTCTGTTAGGAAAGAGAAGGGATTTGTGATATCTTTCTGAATCCACTCCCTGTCTGCTTCCCCGTGAGGGAGGAAGGGGCTGTCCCAGAGCAATCTCACCAGCGATCGTGCAGAGCACCCTGGGAGTGACTTCTGTAATAGTGTGAGAAGTCCAAAGGCAGGCATCTCACAGATGCTTCAACCATCCAGACCCTGTGCATCCTGAAGTCCTACATCCTTTGCAGTATCCATTGTTGGGGAGGAAAACTTTTCTTCTACCCTTCAAGGTTTTTCTGGCTGGTCTAAGAATTAAATTGACAGGAGACAGAATCATAGGAGAAAATCACATTTAATCATATACCTATAGGTTAACCAGGTAAATATGAGAGATTCTAAAACATTCAGGCAAAATAAGGTTTATAAGTCCTCTGGACTAGGAGGGGACAGGTCGGGATCTGGGGCATCAAAGGAAGGCAAATCACAGGAAGAACAGAAAGAGTAAATGTCTGGCAAGCAAGTGTGGGCTGGACCATCTAGAAACTGGGGCATGGAAAGCACTTTGATCAAACAGGCCTTTTCTGGGTCCTCCCTGTCTGTCTCCCCGAGGTCATTATATATTACAGTCATCCATGGAGACTTTAGCATATGAAGTCTGTCTCCCTTGAGTAGGTTCTCTTTCTAAATCCTTTTAGGCAGTTAGCAGGGAGGCCAAAAAGAAAAACATCTTGAATCTTATGTTTCTTAAAAATAATCAGCCTAAAATAATCCACATGCCAAAGAGATACACTTTGGGGTGGCCCATTCTGCCTTGCACTGTCCATCTTAATCGCTGTTTTCACAATTAAAAGGAAATGATAAAGAAATGGGGGGTTATTGTAAAACATCTAGAAACAGTATGCCTATATAAAGAAAAAATGGAAATGACCAGAACTAACCACTAACACTAACAACAAAAAGATGATTTAAAAAGATGGCTACCCCTTGTAAAAAGAGCTCTTTTGTTAGCTGGGAGGTAAGTCCACAGTTTTCCAGTGTTCAGCGGAGAGGGGGCCCTACATTGTAGAAAGAAGTACATGCTAATTCGAAAATAATTTTTCAAATAAAGCTTGCTCCTTCTCTGAGTAGCTTTCAATGCTCTCTCCATGTGGATACTTGACATTTGGTGTAGGCATAACAGGAATTCGTTTCTGAAACAGAAGCATCTACACTCAATTACAGGATGAGTCATGCACAGGCGGGCAGCATCTCCCCCTGGAAAGTGAGACTTTGTAGGACTTGGGGTTTGGGGGGCTTGTGTTGTGGGCAGGGAGGCAATGGATAACACCTCAGTGACAGGGAGACTGTTGAAAGCAGCCTGCAAGCCTCGCAGGTCTTGTGGCCAAGATGCTTCACTTGGAGCAAGAAGCAAACTTAGAGGATGAAATCACGGCTGAGGTTCCTGTCAGAACTGGAATGTGCACCCCTTCTCTGAAGACGGATGATGGGGTCACCTGTGCAGTCACATTTGTTCCTTGTGTTAAAGCTCAGTCAACTCACAGTGAAAAGCTGGGCAGGGAGCTGGGATGCCTTTCCAAACCATCTCCCCTCTGGTGCGTGCGTGCGTGCATGTGTGCGTGTGTGCGTGCGTGTGTGTGATAGTTATCAAGAAGAAAAATAATAAACACTCAAGTGTGAAACAACAGTGACTCTGTAAAGGTTTTCTGAGCTTTGGCATGGATCCCATTAACTTACTGGAATGTCATTAGCATTACATCTGCTCTAAAAGTTTCCTGCTAACTAGAAACCATGGGTTATATCCACCCTTCTTCTGCATCTATAAAACTGACGTAGCATCCTGAAATCATCAAGCAATGGGGAAAAATAGACACAAATTATTAGTTCTGAAGTGCAGCTGCCTGGGGGAGTCACCTGACATTTGCCTAAATTGGGAAGGATTTTAGTGGATGAGATACCCAAATTGTTGGTCTGAAAAAACAATTCCATCCCAAATGTATAGGTGAGGTCCATCTCTTCACTCCAGGACAGGATGGCTTAGAGGAATCTGGAGCTGGCACTAGAACTCCTTTTGAGAGGCCCCTGGTTCGGTGGATTCTCTAAGGTGGGGCAGTACAGGCACTTCCATAGCGCAGCACCACCTAAGACACACAGATTCGAGACATCGGGTCCCATGGCCTACGTGTGCTGTTTTAGAGGCCAACATGCAGGATGGATAGGCAGTGGCCACAGGAAAGCAGTGGAGACAGTCAGCCCAGCAGCAGAAGTAACGCCAGCATCTGGCCTTCCTCACAGAGATGGGTGTGGGCAGAAGCAGGGGTGTGGGAGAGTGAGGCGGGCATTGAGCTGGCTGGTGGATCCTAGACTCAGATGCCACGGAGCCCCAGCCATAGTCAACGTGCAGGGCGTGCTTGCTGCATTCCACTTGGCAGGCCTGGCACACTGGAAGTCAAATCTCAGGGGCTCATCACCACAAGGTGGCTTGGAAAAGTAGGGAAGTTCTGGCGTAATTAAGACTGCATTGAAATAATGTGATTAGCAAGCTTATTTATTGACACACAAGCTGCTGGGAGATACCCACCACATTCCCTACTGTGGGATGCCCGGTGGCTGTGGGACAGCTGCTCATCATTTGGAGGAAAAAGTAGGAGTGTTACTTTAAACTCCCCATTATTGGAGGAAACACACACATCTGGAGGCTTGTGCACAGTGATTATTAGCTGTTCAGCTGAGAAATAGCCTGGTGTCCACAATGCATCGTTTTCCAATTATTTTGATATTTTTCAATGCCTTGAATGCTGGAGGCATATAAAATTCAGCTCATTTAATCTCTCTAAATTATAGTTTCTCCATCAGCCATGGTAATACAGCTTAATAAAATCATTGCTTTTTACAAATCTCATAAAATCTTGGAAACTACTGAGGGGAGCTCAGCTCCACTTCAGCTTTTTCTTTTTTTAAAGAAAGAATAAACATTTCTGAACTGGAAATTAATTTTCATGTTTTCAGTCTGCTGAAAGGGAGTTTTTTATAGGGTCACTTATCAAGTTGACAAAGAGAAATATACTGTTATATTTTTCTTATGACATGTTCCAAAAGACTGTGGTATTAGGAAGTAGGGTTTTTCACTGGAAATAGAAAAAAAAAAAAAACAAGTCAGGTTTCCTGACCTCCATAATTAAATTCCACAGCTCTATGGTTTGATTGCATTTAGCAATCTTTCTTTATTGAAACTTTCTGCTTGACATAGTCAGAGCAGAGAGCTCTGAAATGCTGAATAGAGGGGTATGAAAGGGGTCTGGATACTTTGCTAAATTTATGCCATGAAATAAGTCAGTACTACATATACATGGGCGAGTGCTTGACATTTGCATTGGCAAAGAGAGGGTAACCATGCTCAGGTCAATTTCATGCTAAAGCAATAGGAATGTTCTATATTTTTAATTTTTTAAGGGTCTCTGGTAAGCTGCATGGAAACCCAGAGTATATTCTTTATCTATGTACTATAGTTTCTGGAATTGCATCATTAGAAACTCAGGTTCATTGGAAATTCTCCAAATGCAACCTTGTATCAGTGCCTACTAAAAAATGTTCTAGGAGAAAGATTTACAAAGTAGGGTTTTATTATTATTATTTTAACACAGGTCAAAAGCTGAGTGATCACATGGTTGGTCTGGAAGCCCTCAGATGTCTCAGACACCTAGGGTTTTTCTATCTTTCTACTCCAGTTTCTTTAGTCTTTTGGCTTGGCCCTTATGTTTGTCACCTTGTGCCCCAAAATGGCTGCCAGAGCTCCCAGCATCATGTCCTCCACGCAAACATATTAAAAATCAGGATAAAGTCAGGTGCCTCTTAATTAATGAAAAATACATTTATTGAAGCTCTCCATCAGGCTTCCCCACAAGTAACTTTGACTGCACTTTGCACAGCAATCACCACCTCAGATACACAAAATTACACTTATGTTGCAGATTCTTTTCCACCTGGGATGGATTAAATGTCCTTCTGGTGAAGACAGGATATAAAACAAGAAAGACGGTTTACCTTACCATCTCTTCTAGGTCCTGGGATTCTCTCTCACAAATTCTCTAATCCTGCACAAACACCCATGAAATACATATCACTATATAAATATCACATAGATGGAGATATCTCCCAAGTGCCAGTCAAGAATCATGTCAAGACTTTTGCCATAGCCATTCATCACCATATGTCCCCCATGCCACCTTTGCACAGTTTCTCCTGATTATCTCATGTTTTTTGTTTTATATCACTATTACATATGTAAACGATGCAGAAAAATACAGTACAAAAAATCAATGTGGCCTGCTCTATTCATTGCCAGCCAAGAGCCAGTTTTCCTCTTTCCCTGACTGCCAAGCAATCCCAACTTTGTGCCAACTGGCCGGACATGCCACGTCCAGCCCCAGGAAGCAAAGCCTGAGCTGCGTGAGCTGCCATGCGAACCCACTCTGCACTGCCTGTGACGGGTCTATGCATGTGACCCAGCGGAGACCAGAGAAGCTGCAAGGGAAGTCAGAAGGCAAACTTCTGGGAAAACAAATAAACAAGAGTGAAGCAAAGAGACAAGCTGGAGAAGGAAAGCAAAACACAAACCAACAAAAATTTTACAAGGGGAAAAAACCCAAAAGAGCTTTTCAAAAAGCCTTTCTTGCTCCCCTCCTTCCTGCTTGGGAGGCTGATGGGTAAACACTTCATGTTTGAAGCCGAAGCAGCCATATGCTCCCTAGTAAGAAAACCCCAAAGAAGAACACAGGAACAGGTCTAGATCCCTGGGAACTGCACCCTCCACACTGCTT